GTTTTTTCTCCTTAGAGGACTACAAAAGTGAAACTCCCAGCTAGCATGTGGTCTGGCAGTCCACATGGACTCATCAGTAACTTTTTTTTCTATATAGATATGCCCAAGATAACAAAAAGGAAGGGGACAAAGAAGGAATTTATTGGCTGGAGAAACACAAAATGAAGTGTCAAGCTATGCAAAAGTCTGTGAACAGCCGAGCAAAAGCCCTTGATCCTCATAAAAGTCTGGAGGAAACACAAAAGGAGAAGTCAAAACAGAACAGGTCAGTATCCTACTCTGCACAAAAAGAACTGTTTGCTCTACTGAGGATCATCAGATAATTCTTTAGGACAGATTGAGTCTAAAAATAGCCTAACCTTTTTTGGCTGTTGTATCCATTACACATTCATATGGATATCTTGACAATTCCATACTTCTCCTTCCATACAGAACCATTTCCTTTAGATTAACATTTGTACAAATTAATTTGTACAAGCCAGTCAACTGTAATGTGTAAGATGGTAAAGAACACATAAGAGACAAGATTTTCTAAAAATGTGAACACTGTTTGCTTGCTTGCAGTCTAGAAGAGCTTTGCTTAATCAGTCCTTTACTTGTGAGCAATAGGGGTTTTTTTTCCCAGCATTCAGAATCAAGAGAAGTACCAAAGCAATTTAAAGAATGAAACACTGAGAATTAATTATTCCTGATCAGCTACAGTCAAAGGGAACCTGTAGTAGGCAGGCAATTTTTCCATTTCAGGCAAAATATACAAGACAGAACAAAAGAATACAGAAAGGAGCTGGAAGAAATGCAGCTGCGAGTCAAGAACAGACCATTCCTCTTCGAACAGGTCACCAAGGTAACTGGTCAAAGTCCCAGAGTGTTTCTGGGCAACAGGATAAACTGTCTTTCATTTAAGACAGGCATTAAGAAATCCAGTCTCAAATTAATTAATGGATAAGAAGGTACAAATGGTTGCATAGTCTCTGGACTGCATGCAAAATAATACATGGAAAATCCAGCAAAGTATAATTTAAATTCCTTCCTACCACTTGAAAAAAAACATTCAGACTTATTTCTAGGAGCTTGCCAGTTCCTAGTATGTACTGCAATCACAGTATATGGTCTGATCAAAATCAAGGCCTTATCACACCAGAAGTTAAATAAATACCTATTCTGCACCTGAATACCATAGACTACAGTCTGGAGATGCAAAACTTTTTCTTAAAACCCTCTCCAGTTAAGCACTTTTCCTTTGTATCTCTACTGCTATGGCAGGACATTAATGATGGTTATGTTGCTTTTATCACCTGTAGGCTTTGCAATCTGGGGCTGCATTCAGCACATCTCACCCATCACACGGTATCCAGCTGCAAATCTCTACTGCACCTGAAGTGTAGATACAATCTGTACTGTTTTTCCCTGGGTTTTCTCTTCAGTTCCAAGTCTTTGCAGGAACTACAACTGGTTAGAGACAGTGACAATACATGGACAATATGCTAATTTAAAATTTCTCAACAGAAAGTACCCTCCTGGATCAGGCTTTCTGTTCTGATAATGGAGGCAGAGAACACACATGTATGATAAATACTGGTAATATTTCCATGTACCAGATGGATAAGAATTCACTTTTAGCAATAGTCTTCACTCATGTTGATACTAGGTTTCTATCCTTCCTTACTAACACCTTAATCTTTAGGGACTGGCCAGTCCCTCTGGAAAACCCTCATCACAGACTACATTGACTTGCAAGGTTCATTTGGAGGCAGTGAGGATATAGGATCCAAGATGCTTGTTTTTAAATTGAGCTGATATGAAGCTATTTCACAGGCACTCTCCCATTTAACTTCACTGTTGTTAGTTCTTACCACTTACAAGCAAATGTGCTTACAGGATTTCACACAACTCTGTTTTCACGCATGTTTTTGAGTGTCAGAGTTAGGACTCAGACACAAGTATACCAGTCTGGTAAGACTGGAATGTGGTAGGAGGAGAACAGAAGAAGGAAGTAAAAAAAGAACTGAAGCAGGAAAATGTGAGCTCTGGCTTTGAGAGAGAGATGATAGACATTGTCCTATTGTACTGTATGGATTACAAAAGTTTTGGACAGGAGGTTGTGTTGTCCCCATTAGGAGCTTCAGATGTGCACTTCAAAACAAGCTGACTGCTAAGGGGAATCCCCAGTTCTATGTATTTACTAAGTTTCGATTTCACAGCAAGATGCTCGTCAAGGAGCAGAGCGTCGCTACAGACGCACCCTCCAGCAGGTTGGCCTAAGCGAAGAATTTGTAAGGAAAAAAGGGAAAGATGCCACTGACTTGCTGGAAGAAGAATCTGATGTTCACAGGTAATAAAAACAATGCAGTACAGCTCTTTTGTCTGTGACTAAAAATATTTTCCTTGTTCATTAATGCATTCCAGTTTTTCTATAATCTAGTGTAGGAAAAATTAAATCAACTTCACTGCTCTTATTTAAGCATTGTGGCCTCTCTCTCCAAATTGCTATTTCATATGCATGGGGCAAACCATTTCTGGTATTTAACCATCACTGTTTCTGCAGGCTGCCTGAGCCTCGGGGTGAAAAGGATGACTGTACTGAACAGGAAGGAGTACCTCAGGAGGAACAGAGCACAAAGGGAGTGGCAACATAAAAGCTCGCAGAAGAATCCATCAATCAGCTCTTAATTTTTTTTGTTCAAGATTCTCCAAATTAATCCTCAGGAATTTAATAGTCTAAGCTAACACCTAAGAATTGCAGTGGGGTGAGATGGGTGAATTTAGTAAAGGGAAAAAAACAACTGTTGTTTAGAGTATGTATTGTTCAGCCCAGCAAACCCTGCAGCCTCCCTTAGTCTTCAAAAGTGTCCCTTGTGTGAGCTCTTTCACTTTAATGGGCAACAAAACAAGTTAGAGGCTGAAGCACTATCTTTGGATAAAAGTAGATATGAAAAATTGAAGAGGTGCATTCTCTAGTGTCAGCTCCTTGCATTCATGCCTCAGAAGCACACAGGAAAGGGAGAATGCCTTCCACTGTGCTAAACCTTGTTTCAGACACATATGTGGTAGAATGTTTTAAAACAAGGTATTTCTACAAAAACAAGTATCAGGATTTGACCCACCTTGGGTGAAGACTCAGAGAAGTCTTTCTCTGGTGTTAATTCTTCATTCACCCACTACCCGCTCTGCTTCTTCCCCCCATTACTAAGAAACAATAGTCTTCCTATATAAAAAAAAAATCTCCCATGTTTCATGACTTGAAAGTGTTTCAACATATTACCAATTTACGTCATTAATTTGGCCCAAAAAACAACCAAAGTGAAACAGTGCATCACTTTGAATTATTGTTTTTCTAATTGTATGATTACTGTGATATCAAAGATGGATTTTGGAGGAAAATAGATGAGGTATTGCCTGCCAGCATGCTGCACTCAAATGCCTACTGCATCTTGAATGGTGTATTTCACACTTTTAGTGATTTCCCTTTACCAAACACTAAAAACCATTTCAAAAATAAAAATCCTTGCCACCTGGAATGTTTTCTGAAAATTTTGCACTTTGACATTAAAATATTTTTAAATGGATATCATGTTTCTGTATTGCTCAATTTTCCTTATCAATCATCTTTTCCTCACTTACTTAAGTGGAAGATGTGTCTCTTTTGACCTCAATCCTTTTTTCTTTACACTGTAACACCACAGCCTAATTATCAAATCAGAAAGACAGTACCTGTCAGAGCTACCACATTAGACAAAGATATAAAACTGAAATAATGTAATTTTTAATCATAACAAAGTATTAAGTCCAAATATTTGTGGCCCAGGGGTTTCATACTGCTACATTACAGGCTAAATGCACCAGACTGCAACATTCTTGTTTGTGACTCAGTCTCCACACTGAGAACAGGCTTAAGCTCCTTGGCAGGTTCCAGGAAGGCTGTTACCAGTGTACCATTTCCTGCACAGGTTTAATTGCATAGGACAAACAGAGGCTGTTCCTTCTCTGGGTACCCCCTGGAAAAGAACAGTGATGTAACCATGCTGTCACTGTGCTTTGCCACATTGAAAGAGGAAGGAAAGAAGATTACTTCCATGCTCTAAGTCTGTGGTTTAAAGCCTCTTTGTATGGATATATTTGGAGCAGTGGGACTGAAATTTTAATACATACATTTTAAAGGGTATTTACTAAAACTGGTTAATGGTGCTGAAAAAAGAAATCTCTTTTTTCAAAAGAAAAAGGTATGTGAAGTGAAAAGGGAAACCGTAAGAAGTGAGGAACGAAAGTTTAAATTATTATGCCATATCATTTTAAACAAATTCTAAGGTGACATGCATGAATATAATAACAAATAAATTAAAAGTCTTCATATTGGTCCCTAAACTGAAATTGCAGAAATGTGATGAAAGTAAAAGCATCAGGCTAGGTAACTGAAACTCACATCTCTCTTGCTAAACAAAGTTTTGTTCTGAAAGGAGGATTACATTTCTGTAATCCTAAAAGAGAGCTGTAGTCTCTTAATATGTCTCAAAAATGGTATGGAAATAAAGAGTTTCAGCTACAGTTCTGCATTTTTGTACTGTATGAAAACATTTGCTTATATTCATTTACTGCCCTTTCAGCTAACCTACAAAAATACTGTAGAGAAGAAGAGATCTCACTGGAGTATCTTCCATCAATTGCTGAGAGGGCAGCCAAACTGCATCAGACTTTGATTCCCAGGTACCTGGTGGAGCTTCTGCAGGAACCTCAGGGTTACAATACCTGTACCAGCAGCAGCACTACCTTTCCATTCAGCTAGGAAGCACTATAAACTCTAGGCATTCCCTTTGCATAGAAGCTATTAAAGACACACTACATTAGCAAAACTCTGCATTCTCAGTAATGCCAGTTCTGAAGACTCTAAGTTAATACTCAAAACACCATGTGGAAAACTCATTTAAAAAGCTTGATATACCAAACAAATTTTAGAGAAAAAAGACTGGGAAAACCAGGAACAGAACACAGCAAATGTAACCAAATGATATCAAGTAGTACATTTTATTCATATAGTAAGTCAGCTTCTGACAGTGAGATGTATTAGAATATAGTCTCTGAAGGTAAAGGGCAGAAGGAAGGCCTGTTGCTCAAGATACTGAATATTTGAACAGTGCCTAGCACAATGAGGTCCTGGTCCTTAGCTGGGGCTCCTAGGTGCTCCAGCAAAACAAACACTTTAGGCTTTAGGAGATGGACTGCATAAGCAGTTTTGAAATGGCATTCCACAACATGGGCTAAGTGACACCTAAGCAGCAGACTTCACCTTTTAAGCTCTGCAAGAGAGAAACTTGGTCCAGCAGATCTTCTCCATCTCCAGTTTTAGGATTCATCCACTATCTACCCACCCCTCTGTGCACAGTTAAAGCAATGTTCATTCATCCCACTGCAATATGATGAGCCTCAAGGGGGAATGATCGATCCCGTCTCAGTCACCACATATAAGAGGGCGGAAAAAAGAGCAGCTGGTCTCACCCTCTTCTACTCCAATAATTGACTCAGTGTCTGGCAGGTGCAGAGACTCAACACCAAGGCTGGGCTGAGAGTTCATGGAGATGAGATTCTTACTATGCACTGTCGATTCTTCCAGCAAACTGCTGCCCATCAGTGACTCTATTATGAAAAAAAAAAAAGGGTAAAATTCTCATGATGCAATGACACTGCCATATAAGATACAATCCTTGCCCCACTTCCAGTCTTACTGACTTCTTCCCTAAACACCTACTTTATCCATTTCTACTCTTTGGGCATCCAGTGCTCCAGTGGATGGAAAATACTATGTTTATTGTTTTGAACCTTACTGTGGTGGGATCTCACGCAGGATTGGCTTTCTCTTTAAATAATACACATTGTGTGAAAACCCAGGCTGCTTGCAACAAAAAAGCATAACCAAGGGAAAAAATCCACATAAAAAACCCCAACTATATTCATATTGATTTTAAAAACAATGAACATATCTGCCCCTTGACCACCATACAAAAATATACCTTTGTTTTCTGTCCCCGAAAGGGGAGGGTAAGCAGTCCGCATTGCCAAAAGAAACAGACTTGTTTCTTACTGGCTTTCTTAGTGGTCTCATATTATCAGGACAAACATCTTTTCTTTGACCATCCACTAATTTTTTTCCTGCACTTTTCCCCCAGAATGAGTGTGCTCCCTTCTTTACCTGGCTGTTCTCGCTCCCTGCTGCCAGCTGTTCCAATTCGGGAGTGGTGTTTCCTCATATGCACATTTCTGCTACCGCTCTGGGAAAATGTCTTCCCACAAATTTGGCACTGATGGGGCTTCACTCCTTGGAGTCAAAGGGGGAAGAAATATCCCAAGAATTACCAAAATGGAAGAAGAGACCTTATCAACTAAGAAACTAATAACAGTTTTGAAATGGCTGTTAACACCACTTGTGCTAATTTATCAGTAAAAACCAAATGAGAAGTATTCCCGTCTCCTGGAGGGCCATAAGCCTCTAGAAGAGAAGAGGTTTAGATATCAGTAATGGCAGTTGTTGGAAAACTCATGGCTGAAAGGTAACAAAGTCTTCAAGTCGGATTGATGAGAGGGAACAAGTTATTTGAAATAATTTACTCATTGATACAGAAATACTTGATGTCCCACACAGAATAAAATGACCAGAGGCAAGGAAGCTATCTCCTGCCATCACACAATGAATTGCAGCATCTAGTTTATGTTACTGAGCAGAGATTTGATGATGACTTGTCACTGTGAAAGGATTTCCATTTTACAGAGCAGTTCATCATTTCCATAATACAAGCATGATGTCCACACTTCTTGGCTCAATGGCATGGAAGGACAGAAAAAAGCATTGAGAACTCAATCATAAATGTTATTACCTCAATAAAATCTCCCGTTCCCCAGACATACCACTTTCATTGTGTGCTGATGATATTTAAGATAGATCAATCAAAATAGAAGGCAGAAGCTTTGGAACACTTGTGAAATACATTTCCACCTAAACTTTTGACCAATTACAAGTATGTAGTAGGAAAAAATAAAGGAAAACTCTACCTATGGCAGAAATCCACTTGAAAGAGATTTCAGATTCAAATGGCTGTGGTTAATACACAGAGATGCTAGAGTCTCTCTTTTAAATAACCAAATAATAGCAATGAAAAAGATATTCAAATACATGACATTTTAGCAATAATTTAAAAAATAATTTTAAAACTGTAATTTGAATTCAGAAATGGAAACAACGAGATTTAAAGCATACAGGTTACAGGCACCACGAAAAGGAAGTAAAAAACCACTATGACCAGAAGTTCTGTAAAAACCAGGATTTTTCTTAAGGAAATCCAATCAAAGTCCTACAATAAAGGTCTTTTTTCAGCCAGATCACAGAATGTCAGAAGAATGTCACTCTTACCTGAGTGGACAACCAAATGTTTCCGAAGACTGGAGTATTCAGCAAAGGAACGACCGCATCCCTGTGCCTGACACAGAAAGGGTTTTTCCCCTACAAGGGAAAAGTAAGTTCTTAGATTTTGGGATCACTACTTAATCTGATTGCCCAAGTCCCTGAGAACAACCTGGACATCTGTACTCCATTATCCCATTTGGCCTTATGTATATCGGAGTTCCATGGAAACTACATATCCTTCTTAAGCTTCCTAAGGCTTTTACAGCATTCTCTTCATCAGCGGAAACAGTGGCATTATTTTAAAATATCCTTAAACTCTCATTCACCAAAAGTGAAGCAAGGGACCACTGTTTCTAGATAATCTTCCAAGTATATAAATAATAATAGTAATATAAAACTACTCAATCTATGATGTATCTTCTATATGCAGTTCTCAACAACCAGCTCTGTTCCACACACTCACAGGGTCCTGCTCCCTTTCAGTACCAAAAATCCCATTAACTGTATTTCCCTTCATATCAGATTATTTATTTTATTTCAGATCAGGCTGAACTTGCCAAAATCCTGTGAGAGATGTGTCAGCCATTTATATCCATGTGTGGAGCACCTGTAATTCAAGGCACAAATTGTTCTCATGGCTGAAATTTCTATCACAGCTATTTTTCTTTTATTTGAATTATGATAAATTGGGAGGTTACTACATTAATGCAGTGCAATAAAATTAATCTGTTTTGAACACTCTCTTAATAAAGCTAGATGTAACTTTTGCCAGCAACATCCCACTAAAGAACTCAATATACCATGTTTAACACTATGACTTCAAGTTTTTAACTGGACCTCTGTACAAGAGCAATAGCAAGACCACAGGAGATTAAGCAAGCTATTTTAACAATTTATTGTACAACATATATGTAGTTCTTTCAGAGTGAACTTGTTTTTAAAGGTGTTCAGCTCATTTATTAGCCTCTTATCTACAGTAGCATTTGACAGCTGCGACCAAAAAGGATCAACACAGCATATTCCAATTGGTGTTACAAAGCTGAAATATGTAGCAGAGTCTCAAACACTGATTGTACTTCCTGGCTTGTTATAAATCTTTAAAAGTTTGGGAAAACTACCACTGACCTAAATAACAGCGCACATTTCCATCTATAAGACACCCTAGAACTATCTACACCTGCAATTTCAGAACACCTTTGGTCTGATCAAATGCTTAATTCCACATTATCCACTTGCAGCTTAGAAAGTTACTATTTACTCCTCCAGAAGCTACTGCTCTGTTGATTGCAGAATGCTCACTTATCAGGGAGGATTGTGCATGTATCAGCTTGGCCAATTAACTTAATCTGTACCTTGGTTGGGAGCTGTAAGTGCAAAAGAAAACTGCAAAAAATATAGCTGCTGTTACTACACATTCGAAATTTTATTATTGGTATAGACAATTTTTAACTACATCCCAACATCTGCCCCCAAACCATGTGTTCTAGCTAGACTGCACATACTTTAAAATAGCAGCCTTTTCCCATGTGTATCGACAAACCACATACCATATGGTCATGTTTAAATAAGGCAGAAGGCACAAACAGCTGCTGGTGACCCACATAATCTGTAATTTCATTTTACCTGGGAGGCCTTGTTCTCTCACACTTGCCAAGGTTTTTTTAAAACGTTAACCAACTGTAATACAATGCTTCTGAGGCCATCAGGGAATCTCTAACATTATTCCAAGAAGCTTGAACTGGGCCATTTGTTTGAGTATTGTGATAACCCTGAGGCTTAAAAAACTAAACAAACAAAATCACCAGAATATTCACTATGAACTTTGCTGGTCGTTAATTAAATTGCTGGTAACTACTAAATTGCTGATAATTTCAGAAGTAACTTGTGTCTCTCTCAAACAACTCTCTAGTACAAAAACACTTTAAAGCACTTTGGCTGCTATACCAACTTCTAAAAATACTGACAAGGCAGGATCATATTCTCCAGAGAAGCCATCATACAAAAACCATGTATAAAATACAGCACTATGAAATAAAGGTTCTTGTTTTATTTACTATAAAAAAGCTGAGCATTAATTTAGAGTATAGAGCTTCAGCATACAGTACCATCCCAAATTAGCATTGGCACAAACAGAGCAGTTTGCACACCATAATGCTGTCTTCTAATTAATGCTTTTTTCTACTTTTCCTTGCTACTCATTCCACTGCATTCCTCATTTCCCTGTATGTCCCAAATGTAGTTATTCTACAAGCAGCATAGGTAACACAAGCTAGTCAGTTAGGCAAATGTCAGCACAGCTCCTACTATCTAAGCTATTGAGATTTTCAGGAATTTCAAATAACCTCTTTACAAAACACAGTTTCAGAAGTCATGTTCACTAACTATTCCCTTGGTAACAGTCTAGTTTCACACACCCCTCCCTCCATCACACAACTGGAAGGGAATCTTAAGGGTGTGGTCTGAACAGAATACAGCATCACCACACACTGTTTGAAAGGTAAAGCCTGTGTGAAACTATACGGGATAGTAAAAGAGATTAGCACTTGATTTATCTGACCTATAGATCAATGTGAATTTACAGAAAATGGACATTAATGGAAAGCAGAGGTAAACAACGTAAGACTTTAAATAGTTTGAGGACAGAGGAGGAAGTGGTTTATTCCTCAGCAAAAGACCCCACCTCAGCAGACCACAAATAGGTGAGGTCTAAAACACACCAGTGTGAATTCGTAGGTGGTTCTTCAGATTTCCAGCTGTTGTGAACTGTTTGCCACAGCCCAGTTCTGTGCACACAAAGGGTTTTTCACCATTGTGAGTTCTCATGTGCACCTTCAGCCTCTGCAAGACGTAGAAACTTTTTCCACAACCTTCTGCTGGGCAGGTGAAGGAGCGGTCATTCCTAGAAAACAACAAAAAGCAGTTTCATTACCAGCTACTGCAACACATTTTTTCATGAACACTCGATTTCTTTCTTTTATTAAATATGAGTACCTGTTAAAATACAAAAAAATCTAACCCAAACATTAACAACGACCTGCAAAATTATCTAACTAATCCAAGTTTTTCAGTATAATTGACTTTAAGCACACAACAGACCTAATATTTATAAGAATAATGCCAGGTTTTCACAGCTTGTCAATGTCAAAACCTAACATTCCCTCAAATACAAAGTGCATTTTTTTAAAGGTCATAACAAGAAACAGCTTCATTCTGCTCACCGGTGTGTTTTCAGATGATACTTGAAGTGAGCTGGCCATACAAATGTCCTATCACAGCCCTCAACTGTGCACTTCAGCTTCCTTTCCACACGAGATAAATGAGGAATGGGGCTTGAATCTTTTGGCTGCCCATCTCCTGTGCAAAGATGAACATTTTCACCTGGAAAAAAAGAAAAAAAAAAAGCCCACTGAAATCTAAAAAATATACAGATTACTATAATGTGTCAAATTTAATAGAAAAAACAGCATCACATACAATACAGGATTGTAAATCAGGTATGTCTGGCTACTAACTGTGTAGCATGCCCTACATGCTGCTGCTTAGCCTGTAACAGGGATTAGACACAGACTTGCAAACCTTACCAGGCCCATAAACTATTCCCAACAAGCCATCTGGATCAGATCAACTGCTACCAGATAAGGCTTATCACAAAAACAATAGAAAGCTAATGCACCAGAAATTGTACAAATGGTCTCTATAAAAATATAAACAACCAATTTTAACTATCAACCAACTATCATCTATTAGCTAAGCTGTTTTTAAAAACACCTTAGCTAAAGTAGGACAGATTGTATTTGCTTGCAATTATTTAATAATTAAGTCAGAAAGCATGTCACTAAATCAAATTTTGTATTCTGCAGAAAACTGATCTCCAAACCCAGTGGAACTAAAAAGAAAGTATAATTTACAGTATGTATTAAAAATAGGTTCTTAAAAGTGAAAATGAAAGTTGAAGAACAAGCAGCTGCAGTCAGAAAGAAGATATTCTTTTACATGTACCAGAGAACTAGTAGAGATGGTTCCACTAGAGTTCATTCCCAAGAAAAAATGCAAAGCCTATTTAAACTGAAGAAAAAAAGCATAATTGTCCTATATAATTCTGTCCCTGATGATTTGAATATGTCATAACTGATTCAAAGAATGAGAGAATTAAAGAGAGGAAGAAACAATGTGATATTAGGGGTCTTCTATGGATCATTCAACTTTTGAGACACAATCTGTGGATCTCCTACCATTATTGCTTGCTTTGGCATTCTTTGCGAGCTGTGCCCGAGTGGCAGCAATTAAACTGTCATGGGCCAATTCTTGCACTCGTAGGAACCATGGGGTACTGCTGTCTGTGCTGTCATGAGAGAGAAAGTCATTTCCAGAATCTTCTGCTTCATCTTGAACAAACACCAAGTGCTCTGTGGGAGACCCCAGCCCTAGAAAAAAAGACAAATTTGTGAAACAATAATATAACAGAGGGAAATTTCTTTTGCTTCTCAGAGATTAGTGTTCATAGCATGGAGGAAATAGCTGCCCTGAAAAAGTCTCCACTGACCTCTACATTGTAGAAAGATGTTGATGACTAAATGCTCCTAAAATATCCAATAATGCCCAGCAAATTTCATGATCTTTCCTCTTCATAAGCAGCAGGGACAGAGTTGTACTTGTATCTCCTGCATTCTGCTGAGACATATCCAGCCAGATGACAAACAGAAGAACAATTACCTGCTCTTGTTAGGTTGAGAAGAATGAATGAAGTGCTGTCGCTGGGCTGGAGGTCTTGCAATAAACTAGAAGTTTCTGGAGTTGGCAGAAGTTCAGATGGTTTCTGAACATTCTGTGCCCTTGTTTCCTCTCCATCAGGGCCAACATTTACCTGGAGACTTCTCAAGACAGCAGATGAAGAAACATCTTTGGAAGAATTAGTGTGACTTGGAGAAGTGAGATCTCTTTCATCATCTAATGAGGCAAGTGAAATCAGAGTAAATAAAAGTATAAATACACTATGATTAAAAGACACCTATAAAATTATTTTTCCAGGAAAAGACCCCAGAACTTGAGAGAGAAGGGAGGAGAAAGCTTCTAACTAGTCAGACTTCACTATTAAATGAGAAGATTCAGTCACTCTGCTGAACTTGTTGCTCCATCCATGGGATGGCTTATCAGCAAGAGACAGCAGGGCCAGCATGGTGAAGTAAAGACAGTAGTATGAAGGGCAGGGTCACAAAGATCTGCCACACAGATTTTACCTGGCAACATGAGTCTGTTGCATTCTGAGGTCTCAGTAACAGGAAGCAGAGAAAGACAGGTGATGTCTTTTGGTTCTGATTCCACCAGTCCTTGTCCCAGTGGAATGGAAGTATTTTGAACAAACTGAACCAGCAGCTGGAAAAACATACTGAAGATTAGGTCGAGAGCAGTACAAATCATTTAAAAAGGTACTAAAGTCCAGTCAATCCAGTAGTCCCTACCATCTTGCAGGAGATATTGAATGTAATGCCATGGATACACACAGATATAAATGAAAACTTTTCATTTTCCTTTTTACGAGGAAAGAATTGTTTGTCATCTCTGAAATACCTATGAACTTCTCATTTCTTTAACATATAATCAACAGCTCTGGATCATTGCAGAGCAAGTCTAGTTAGGCTATTTTTCTTTTTAATTAATATTTTACCACTTGATACTTTACTATGGTCTAACATTTCAAGTAAATGCTTTCCATGCTCAACCTTTGGTGCAAGTATTTTTTAAAATCATTGTTTTTAATACTTTAAATACTTAACTGAAAATTGTAATTTTTCTTAATTAAAAAAAGCAATCAGAAGACTAGTTACAAAGATGTCTATCATACGGCTATTCAAAATAAGCAGATAACAATCAGAGAAACAAGGCTGGGATGACAAGGGGGAGAACAGAGGCAGTTTTAGCCATCTAAATCAGCTCCTCCTAAAACCATCAAAGATGGACAACCAACCCACCCACTAAGGGGATTAACAGAAGAAACCCTCTCCAAAATACTACACAAAACAAGGAGGACTATAGTATAAACAGGTATAGAACTTAAACTGAGGTGCATTCCCTTGGGAGGAATTTGGGACTGGTCAAAAGATTTGGAAGGATTTGTACAAGACTTATTAGGTGCTATTTAAGGGAAAGGCCAAAGGCAGGAAAAGGAAAGGATCAAGGTGGATCAGGGCAGAACAAACACAAGAAAATTGAAAGAGAAGGATAAAAGGGGCCTACTGCATATAAGCAGGAAGCTGATCAATTCAGTTGTCTGGCACAGCCTAACTCTTACACTCCATCCTGTCTTCTCATTCAGCTCCATTCTTACCTACTCCCTGTGTGGTCCTGCTCTCTACAGTGGATCTCTAGTGGCACACACTAGTTTCCTGTATGTGTGTGTGTGTGTGTGTATTTGTGTGTGTCATATGCTAATGAACTCCAAGCCAGCCTAGTTAGCAAATGAAATGAGAAGTCTGGGGATAGATCCAAAGAAATCCATAAAGGAAATCCCTGAGGCAGTAACCCTTGAACATGGAATCAGACACTGTGCTGCCGGTGTTTATGAGGGTAAAGCTACAAGCACTCAGTCTGTGTTCATATGTTTGGTGCCAATCACATCTGTACAGTGTGCACACACCCATCTTTTCAAACAGGTACTAAACTTCACTAGTGGCTGGCTCCAATATCAGAATTAAAGAGCTGTCCTGACATTTCTTGATGAACCCAGGAGGTGAGAGAGATGGTCATCCAGTCCATCAGATTTAGCCATCCCTAACATCAGCTCTGGCAAAAATTACTTCCAGCTAACTCCTCAAAATCTGGAGTTATAAAAAAGGAACCTGACACTTGAAAAGGAACAGGAAGTCAGAAAAATTACTTTTTTACCCCTGAAAGTCTTCTCATATTTTTAACCTAGTTCAGAGCTTCTTAACTCATTCTGTTCCTTTTATAACATTTCAACTTTTTGTCAGAGTACCAGAGATAATGCTGGTGCTCTTTACACCCAAGGCAGACACAGAAATGAGACTCCCTTTTTTTCTGTTACCAGTGCCAGAGCACTTCCTATTAAAATATTCTCATTTAACAAGAATGGTGCTGGGAGTTAGGAGATAACAGTCCAACTTTTGCAATGGACTGAACAAATTCTGTGAACTGCACAAGCTTTTTTAAACACGGTCTCAAATCCCTCCCCTGTAGGGATTTAAACTTCAGAAAGATGGAAAGGGGCTGGTTTTAGCACACCCAGACACATACTCCACGTTTCAGAGGAAATGCTGGTCAAAACTCTCATGCAGGATGTTTTTGTTTGTCTTTAAGTTCCATCAAACAAATTAACTCCTATACTCACATTCTCAGGTTTGTGGTTTTTTAAACACTGAATGAAGAAATATGGAAAATAACAATATACTAGAAAGTTAAACCTCAAGTTCCTTATCTCTAGGAAACTCCTTGACAAAGATCCTGCGTTCTGCTGCTGTCTAAAAAACTGTATGTAGCAAACTTCCTTTAACTTTGACATTTAGAAGGAAATTGTACAAGATAATTATTCAGAAGCTACTACCCTCATTATGACACATTTTAGTACGCAGTAACACAGAGCCCATATGGAGTTGTCTGTGCAGTGAGATAGTTCATCAGTGTCAAAAGAAAGAGACTAAAAAATGCTGATGTACCCACTGTATATTTGTGATTAAAACTCAACAGTCACAGATAATTTGATTCCTATTTCGTATGTTGTGATTGTCTTAGTACTTCCTTTTCAGAGCTATTGACATCTAATTCCAAATTATCCCTGTGGCAGACACCAGCCTTTGGAGCCTCCCTTACATCAAGAGAAAGTGCTAAATCAAAGAAACTGTAAAGAAAACTTAGTGTTTTGCACTCTGGTTTCTCTATGCTCATTTCATCTCACAAAAACACTAGAAAGATTAATGGTTTCTCAAACACTTTTACCTCAAAGAGCTGCTGCCGTAGGAACCCTGAAAATTTAACAGTCCTGACTGGTCTCCTCTGGGACCCCCCACACTCTCTCCCTTGGGATTCCTTTTAAGCTCAGCCTGGGCCAGTCATTCCCTTCCTGAGTTGTGCTGTAGGTTTACCTGTCTCAAGCCCTGTCTACTGGATGAACCTCAAATTTTTACTGCATCTGTTTCTCCAGCTCCATCTTCTGCTGCTCCTACCTGGATTCTGGATAGACCCTGGACCTGGTTCACCACTTCGCCTTATCCAGGGCTAAGGGCTGTGGATTCCAGCACCTGTCTCTGATTTCCATGCTCAGTATTGTGCCCTGGTCTGTGAGGGTACTGCCTGGGCTGGGATCACCCTTGACTCCCTGCTCACCCTCTCTTAGGAGCAGCTTGTCATCACTGACAATTATGAAGCTACAAATTAAGTCCCAAAGTCATTCAGATGGCAATGCGCCATTTGAACTAGGCCACAAGCCAGATGGCAGTTTGAAAGGTTAGAATTGTTTCGTCTTAGATATAAGATTATCCAGAGGACCTAGCAAGAAGATGGAACTATTTTTATGTTGTCAAAAAAATACATAGGCAATAAAAGACAGTCCCTCCCCCCAGGGCCATGCATTCTAATTTAGGATTAAAAAAAAAATAGGAGAAAGAGAAGTAAAAAGGGTTAGGAATAATGAGCAAGGCAACCAGTAAAAAGAAGTAGGGACTAAAAACTTGAGCACTAAGATAGATGTAAATTATTGGATTGTCTTTCATGTTGATGCGTCCTACTGCTTCTTACTCCATGATGAAACATTTGTTTTATGGACTTGCCTATTTTTATACAAAAAAGACCTAAATGAAACTTGCCTCCTCCAAGAAGAAAGCTTTGCTTTAAACCTTCGACTTCAACATAGCAACATTAAGCCACTAGGGAAAAGCAAAACACAGCAACCACAAACAGATGCTCAGAAGAAAAAAGATCCTTTTAATTTGCTTTGTAAAGTAATGACAAACTAGTACAGAGAATTATGAAATTATGAGAGGGCAAAAAAGTAAAAGGAAACAAATGGACATGAATCACGCTCACTATTAAAATGTGGAATAAAAAACCCCAACCCTTCAAATAAACTAAAGCAAACTAATCATCAACTCAAATAATTCAGACAAAATAAAAAGTTTTCATGTTAGTTTTATCTTGACAGATTTGTTCCTAAACCTTCCTGTTTAAAATTATTGAATACCTTTGTGGACAACTACAGCAACTGGAACACAGGAAAGAACTCATTACAAACATTGTGTCACGCTTTCTTAAGATTCTCGCAAAATGGTTTTGCAGCTAAAAGTAAATAGGAAATTATAAAGGTATCTGGTAATTGGCTATTCAGCATAGAGACCAAGGAACAGGACAGGTGATAAATTAAATGCACATACACTAACAAACTCTAGCAAACTGCAGATAAGAGAGAGTAAAAATAACCAGAACTCCTAGGACACTGATGGATGGGCCAGTACAGGAATAACTTGAGTTTGACCTTGGAAAAAAATCAACCAGAAACTTTGTAAGGAATAGGAACAGTGTTATCTTGGGTTACCAAAACCACATCTCATCAAAGAGCAAACTTAGGGGAGAAATTCTGGGACTGGGTAAAACATATTAAGGTATCTTGATGGAGACTGTGGGACAGTGAAAAACTTATTGATGTTTAGGGGAAGGACCAAAGGCAAGGAAAGAGAGGGATCAAGGTAGATAGGAGAGAAACAATTATTTGGAACAGAAAGGGGATTGGGAATAATACTGGTTGGCCACATTAGCAGGCTGCAGGTTGCTGCTCTGCATCACCACTGGGGTCTGTCTCATCCTCTCTAGTGCTTTCTGCTCCTAAATGGTTTCTGAGTACATTCATTTAATTAAATTCACTTTGGCATAACCTGTGAAATAGAGAAAAACACAATCTGGAAACCCAAGATCCTGGCGAGAGGCTGAACTAAAAAGCCCAAGGCCTGGAGATGGACACTGGAAGGACTCAAGGTTTGACAAGGAGTGGATAGCTGCATGACCATAAGTATGCATGTCAGCCAAGGGAGGACATGTGTGATGTCCTAACAAATTTCAAGCCTTTTTACCTGATAAGTTGGGACAGGATTAGACCATTTGTGGCCTTTCTTTTCCATGGGAATGCCATTTGTGTTTGAATGTGCTGGTAAAGGCCCTATCCGGCCACACAGCCATAATGTCATCCTGTCTGTGTGTGCACAGGCATATTTTTGCAGTTTAGGCCCAGATGCACTTCTGTGCACCTGGGAACAGTCCAGTGGTCTCACGTCTGAAAGACCAGGAAAGCAGGAACCTCCTAGATAATATCATCTGGCATCACAAACAGACCCCAGATGGGCTCTAAGTATTCCTGAGATGGGGACCGTAGAATGCCTATATATGGAGGAGACTGATCCACTATAACCCAAGTGCTAGAAGTTGTAAGCAGAGAAAATAGGTCATCTTAGGACACCAGAATAGGAGTAGTTAGGGAAAATGAATGTACAGATTATTAACAGAATACCAAAGGTACAGTAAGAGGTGAGGTGGCTTTACTCTATAGCTAAGACATTCCTTCGAATTTGAAATAAATTCTAATATTGCAAAAGGACATCCTTGACTTAAGAGATTCAAACTTCAGGGGCCAGATGTGAATCAAACAGAGAGAATCTATAATCCTTGGAGGGCAAAGTTCAGCTGCATCTTGAGATAAAGAATTTTATTTTTGCTCTGCCACATCACCTTCTTGAATACACCCTCCTTTACATCTGATGAAATGCCATGTAACTGAAAATTCTGTAAATAATGCAGAGAGTGAATTTATTAGAAAATGTAAACTATTTCTTGGCTGTTGTCACTAAGCAAATACTTTTTATCCCTGCTAGTCAACAATAAATGGTTGGACAGGATGATCCCAGGGTCTATCACTGCAAGCAATGCAGAATGCTTGTGTTACCAAGAGATTTGGATAATGTCCCTGACCTGAAAGGGGAAAAAAAATCCACAACAAACAACAGCCAATAAACTGTTTAAAGACTGAGAACCTCTACTAAAAATCCTTAACAGAAACAAAACAAACAAAAACAAATAACCCAACAAAACAACCAAATCAAAACCAAATGATGATATGGCCACCTGGGATGGATCATCATCATCTATGTTGTGTCCCATAGCAGATGATTCAGAAGCCAAGAAGTGTTAGGCTGCTGCTTTGGCTGAAGTAGGGGTTGCTGGGAGTGACTGGGTAAGAAGGTTCTCCAGAACCTCAGATCTATCCTCCCACTAGACAGCTGGAGAGCTAGATTAGATTCCCAGAGCAGCAGGGACCATGTCTTTAATCAAAACCATTCCTGTTCTAAATTTAACCAGTGAACCACAACAAAATAAAGAGGTCAAAAGAAAATTTAGTGGAGGGGGAGGAGAAAGGAGGGGCTGGAGCTGAAGAGTATGCAGGGCAGAAGGCTTGTTACCTAGAAACTGGGATGTCCTCCTCCCATACAGCCTCTGGGGAGCTAATTAAATCACAAATGGCTCTCCTTGTGAACCACTGAGGAGGAGAGAAAGGAAAGGCTAAAGTACCTCTCTTCACCTTCTTTTCAATAACTAATTCCATTTACAGAACAGAGTTGTAATTCAATTGATTGTGCTAAGAGTTACCCCAAAAGCAGAAAGCACCCTGCACTGGACCAGTATGGTGGAGGTCTCCTAGACTGGAAACACAAGTGTAATGAATCACCTCAAAGGCTTAAAGCATGCAAAATGCAAATCGTAGCAGTTCCCTGAGGAGAGATAGTTGCATAGCTTTGGGGGCAGGGAGTCCAGAAAAAAAAGCAGATCCATCTGTCCATACAACTGTCTCTAAGCAACTTTTTAACTTTCTATGAAAGGAGGATTCACCTCTACTCAAGCATTAAAGATTTAATGGTATGTTGGTGGCTTCTTTAGGGATAAAACCAGTAGCAAAGAAGTCTATGCAATAGAGACATAGTGCTTGATTGTTATCATCTAGATGTCACAGAAATACAGCTAGCTCTTAATTAATACATTTCTCACGTGGTAGGGTATAAGAAAAAACATCTGTGGCTATAAGAATTGTGGTGCCATGGTTTACTTAGATATAAAATCATTATATACTTTCAGACACATTTCAACTGCTATTTGGGGTAAAGTGTAAAAAGAGTATCTACTAGCTTCACTTCAAAGGAACAGAAAACAGTACTAACTTAGACTCAAGTTTCATAATCAGAACTAGAAAAAGAAGATATGTATACATGGAAATAAATCAAAACTTTTAGTATAAAATACCCTTGATCAAGACTGAGGAATATGGTTTAGAACCACTGTAACTTTTTTTATGTACCACGTCTGTTTCTTCTGGAGAGTAAACAGCCAACTCTTATTATGGGCTTGCTGGGAAGGAAATGCAACTCTGCCATGAGGAAACAGGACTATTATGTAAACAAGCCTAATTAACAAATACCTTACTCACGCTGAGAAAAGACAAGGCCCAGTTACAGCTCCTATCTGAGGAATGAGCAATGAGCATTCCAACTGTCTCGGTCTTTGGATGTCAGAAATAATCTAAGGGATCCCACCCATTCACAAACAAAAGTAACAAAGTCCTCCCACCTTATCATTCATAACTCAGAAAAAAAATTGATAGAATGTATGAGACCTCAAGGACAAGGCAAGAGAGAGGAACTCTTTGCAGATCATGCTGAGACTATTCAGAGCTGCTATGAATTTACAGCTACTTTTCCTGAACAGTGTGATCGGAAGGGCTTTGGCTGCTCTGTTAAGAAACAATACATTAACACATCACATGGGCTGTAATGAATTACCAGCAGGTAATCATCACTCTTTTTAGAGAACCAGTTTAAGATACCTGCTGTACTGCTTATAGGGATAGAAACAAGAGTCAACAAAAAACATGCAATTAAGTCTTGCAAACTTCCCCAAAAGGTTATTTCATAGCTGTACTATGTCCTCTGCTCTAGGACTTTAGCCATCTGCAGAGGTAAAGCTCAGAACCAGGAAAAGTAAGGACACCAAGGGATACAATCCCTGCATCTTTAAGTGGGGAAATGCACAGAGAGACAGCTTATGTGCCATTCAAGCTGCAAAATAAGGCAAGAAATAGGAAAGGCAGGAGGTGGTGGCGGTGTTCAATGTAACAAATTGCAGACACTTGTATCTAGCACATTACAGATATGAGGAACAAAGCCCAGAACTCAGCAACTGATTAGCTGCTAAGAGCCACTGCTAGAGTGGCATCTTGTAAAGGTTTAACCAGAAATTTTAACCGGTAAGAAAACAAAGCTATTAGGGGTTATCAGAATGGATCTTGTATGACAGACCAAATTTACTGTCCAATATCACAAGGATAGAACGCTGTGTTAAGCTTATTACACTATGTTTAGGGAGAGGACCAAAGGAGGAATCAAGGCAGATAAACGAAGAACCAGGGTGAGAGAAGAGACTCCAACCATACATTTGCTGGCTGCTAGTCAGTACACTGCTGTGCCTGATCACCGCAGTCCCTCCTATCTAATTACCAAAGACATTCCTAAATATTCTACCCACAAGTGAGTCTACTGCTAATGAGCTTCTAGTTGACTAATGCAAATAGGAGGCTACCACACTCTGGAAAAAAAACAAAAAATATTCCAGCCAGAGACTGGCTAAAAGCCCTAGGTCTGGGCAGAAGGACTGTAGGCCTGGCAAAGACATGTGAATGTGAATATGCACGAGAGAGTGATGAGGGTACAGCTACAGCCCACTAGCAATCATTGTTCATGCTTTACCTGTGCATGTGATAATGTGCACGTTTGTGCTTTACCTGTATTTGTGACCGGCTGTGCATGCACAAATGTCCCTGCAATTCAAGCTCAGCTGTGCTACCAGCTGAACTTGGAACAGTCCAGCAGCCTCACACTGAGCAACCTGGATCCCCTGTGTGCTCCTGCCTACCAGTTCTGCCAACTGCTTAATGGAAACAGGACTGGCCAATGCTGATAAAATAATTCAGATTGTCCAAAACCAAGTAAAGTCAATTTGGAGGGAAATAAATAAATAGAAATAAATAGTCAATTCATTAATTTATTTTATTCTCGTAACAAAAGAGTGCTGTGAAAGTGGGGGAAAAATGTAACCTGAGAATGGGCAAGAATATTGGCTGATACTTGAAAGGAGGTGAAAATAACTTGCAATATTTTCTAATTTTTTACCATTCAAATCAAAGCATGGAAGCATTAGAAGATGTCACTGAAAACACTTGGAAAATTAGTATGTAAGCAGCAATCTGAGTAAACTAATTGAACTCTAAGGGTTACCCATCAACGTTCCTGGGAACCAAACTTAGTTCATAATTGCTCACCTCAGGTTTGGATTCTAACTCATCCGATAACATTGATTCAAGTGTCCAACTCCTGCAGCTGTTCTCAGCAAGGCACAGATTTTTATTTTTTTAATTTTTTTTTTTTTAGTTCAGAGAGAACAATGCTCCCTGATTATTTTCATATTTTCCTAAGTGCAAACCAGTGTGGTGGTCCTTCTGCAAGAAGCTCTGTTGCAGAAATAATTAATTTAACCTAAAACAACAAAAAGGGAAACATAAAGAGGAACTGAAAAACAAGAGCAAAGCAAAAAGAAATGAACATGTGCTGATGCAACTGTAAAATATACTTTGAGGTATTGGTACAACTTATTTCCTGAGGTTCTTGGATTTCTGTCTTCACTGAATCAACAAAATAGCCTTTAAAAATTAATTTCATTGTGTTAGGATGTTATTTACCACATTTTGTTTGCAAACACTAATTTTCAATGGAAAATTGCCTTATTTGTTCTGGGAACTTATGGGATCAACTGCAAATCACATAAAGCATGCAAGATATGAGGAAGCTGAATTTCCAGCCCACAACACAGTGGAATTATCAAAATCATTGATAAAGTGGAGCCATATACAAACAACCTGTCAGCAGGAAACATCGGTTTTTCTGTCAGCCAAGATATTTCACAGAATAAGAAATTTAATTTCTTGATAAGCCCAGATTATAGAACTTATTTCACAAATACCCATATGATGTTTGTGCTAAAAGGGGAACACGAGAACAAGCTTTTCTTGCCTGCCAGGAAAACACTCAGACACTGCCGATGGGAGAAAAATGTGAACTGCATACAGTTCTTTCCCCTTTCCAACTCAACTACCGATCTACTATGTTAAAAAATAACGAGAATACTGAACCAGCTAAAAAGAAAACCTAAAAGCCTTGTTCTCACACTCCTGACAGCAGCACTGCAGCACGGAGCTTTACTTGCCGTGAAGGGGCCAGACAGCACACACAGCGAGCGCAGAGTGGCTGAGCCCAGTGCACGCAGCGAGCCCGGGCCCGGTTGTACTGCCGCGGCCCCCCGCTGCCCCTGTCAGCCCGTACCCGGCAGGGCGGGCCCCGAGTGACCCGCGGGGACAAGAGCCAGCGCTGCCAGGCCCGGCTGCCCACGCTCCGGCCGGGAGGAGCCCAGCGGAGGCCCGGGGGCAGGGCGGAGCGCCGAGG